TAATTTTCTCAACTAAACTAGTACTTATACAACTAAACAAAGGTAGGTTACCGAAAATGGGCTCTTTCATGTGTGTATATATAATGTTTCGAATTATTTGAATTATAGTATGAACTAAGAGTCCCAGAAATTAAGATGTAAGACACAAGCACAAACCAATGTATTGTATTTGGAATTCGAAATCAAGCATTCAAGAAGTACAAAGGTATCATTAATTCATTCAAACACAACAGTATACCAATTCAACTGCTCCTGTGGAGCTAGTTACATAGGCCGTACTCAGAGGGCTTTATCCTTGCGTGTTCGTGAACATGTACCAGTATGGTTGGGAAAAGGAGTTACCAAATAGATTAAAAGCACCATTCTTTCTCACTTGGTAGATAACGAACATCATATCAAAATAGAGCAAGCTTTCTCTGTTTTATATCAAGTTCCAAAATATATACCTCAAGGAGTTAGATTACGACTGCTTTACATAGCCGAAGCCACCTGGGTCAACTCCAGAAGACCAAATTTATGTATCCAGAAAAAATATATCCAGCCTCTTTGTTTACCTTGGCCTACGACTGGATCACCGAATACCTAGACTGAATATTTTAAACCTCTTACCCCATTCCTTTACTTTTATTTATTTAATTTTCCCTTATTATCATTGTTTTTGATTATCTCTATCTTGATCTTCACATCCATCATTCCCAATTTGTTTATCGTAATTACCTTGGTAACACCCCCCAATTATTACATATTATATTCACACAATAATCTTACTATTATTGTCTCAATTGACAAGATGAAATTCTCCTACTATGCATTTTATTCACACAATTTTTTTGCATTTTCAGTTTTGCTATAATACTCATTATGACCGAACATTTTACTCCAAATCATCCTGACCTTTCTAATTTGCGAATAATACAATTTTGAAGTATATATATCGTAACAGATGCAAACGTGCACCATTTTTTTAACACATAACATTGTCAAATTCATTAATACGTGCCTTATTTTGGCCTTTATAAAATATCACGATGATTATGGACTGTAGAGCCTGATGTTGAATTTATTGAAAACAATTGTTCGCTGAAATATTCTTCATTTTGTATTTTCATTTCATTAAACCTTTTTATCTATCTGATTAATTTATCAATTTATTCTGAATTAGATAAAATGACTACTTCATCTAATTGAGTAGTAAATATATCCTCAATCAATATTAGATAGGCCATAAATTCAAACGTTTGCATTTACAATAAAAATGAGAAATATCGGAAATCCGCATATACTTTCGATACTGAAAATTGGAATGAAACAAGATTTTTCAATTATTCCACTTCTATAATTCTATGTATTAATATATTTAGAATATCAGAAGGGGGTTTGTGGAGATTTTAATAATTCCAATAGTTGAGATCATGAGTCAGTTGAAGCTAGACCACAATTAGAAACGTGGAAGCACTGGGCGGCTGTTTCGTCCCACTGTGGGATTCCTCAGCAGTGAACATCCACGACCTCGTCTCGCGGGATTCGGACCCAGGTCCTATCGTTCTCGCGCGTGAGCGCTTAACCACTAGACCACTGAGCCAGCCGACATCCAACGGTGTTGTCTAACTTCAACTAATCCACGAAATTGAGCGACACATTCACCATTGTCATCAGTGAGTTACTATCTCACAACAGACCCAGTTGAACTCCACTGATTACTACTTCATTTATTCTTCGTTAGGACATAACAGATTATATTGATAAAACGAATATCCTAAGTGAAAAATTAAATTTTCGTAAATTAACTAATCTGATAAAACGGAGGACGATCTTACCATATCTTTGAAGAAGTTCAGTGGTCAGCAAATACTTTTATCAAATGTATACGGAACAATAAAGCTTATAAAATCATTTACTCAAAGTACATAAATCAGGTGCTTTATCTAAATCAGTTCTAGGCGTTCATAACTCGACAGAAACCAGTCCGTAAGCAGCTTATAAGTCGTAGTGTCGACCAGTTGGAGACTCATAATATTTAATTAAGTTCATATGTGAGGATTAAAATGGAAATATAATATCCTGATTAGATATTGCACGTGAGAAGAGAGTAGATAAGATTATTGCAAAGTAAACTGAACCAGGGAAGTACCTGGACAGGCCAACATACAAACTTTCTTAGTTCCGTTCCTCTACAAAAGATAGGGACGACAACTACTGGGATAAAATGTCGAGGCTTTGTTTTTAGAAGAAATGTGTCCAACCGCTTCTTTTATCTTAACTTAAGGGCCAATAATTTAATAACCATTTTAATGTATACACAGCCTCCCCTTGTTGCTTTCATAAACTTTGTACCACTTAAATATTATTATCATTATTCACGTACCTTAGTACTATTATCATTGAGAATCTTGTGAACAGATGATAAATTCAACTAAAACTCTACTATATTATTTCTTGCTCAGTTAATGACATTTTATACATTATGTAATCTTCGACCAGACAGTTGATCTCATTTTTAGTTACGTTACTATTCCTACCACTCTGTTTTCTCTACATTGTAGTATCGGTTACTACCTGAATCCCATTTAAGTTATTTTAGCTTCTGGACAGGCCAGTTAATCCATTCTTCTTGAGTCACGTTTTGACCTTGTTAATTAATCATTTATCAACCCTGACTGTTTTTATCTGAGCGTATATGTGTACACTTCTTATCCTATTCATTACATGTCTCTGACTTATTTTTATCTGGCTCCACTGCACGTCATTCCTTTTCGCTGTATTGTCTGGATCGACGATTACATGAAATATACATATTCAAAATTCATTCTCGTATTTGACTTATTGAATTTTGTTATTCTTTAGCGCAATTTAAGTCGATAATTACATACGAGAATAGTTACAATGTATGTTTCAACAGCAGTTATTTGATAGCAATCACAAATGATCCAAATGAAGTCAGATCCCGGGCCACTAAAATATTTCATTAAAATCATGAACCGACTTAAGTTGGGATAGAATTGGGAGAACTGAATTTCTGTCTTGTCCCAGTAAGGGACTGCTCAGGAATGTACATCCACAACCTACGGTTTCGTGCTCGAACGCTTAACGTCTGAACCAATGAGATGGGATTACATGGTTTAGCTCAAATCAATAAGAGGGATTACGCGACCACCTTCCACTATGTTCGTTGAGTAACTGCGTCACATCGGACACAGTTTGGCTTCATTGGTCATGGCTTCTTGCGAGAAATGCGGAAATTTCGTCTTGAAGGTCACTAATGAGCACATTTAATTGACAGCATGAGGTTTCGGAGATTGTTTAAATATTTATTTCGATTATTAATCCACCATATCCAACTAACTTACAAACGTATTCAAGCTAACATTATACATTAATCATTTCAATATTAATAATTTCATTTTGTCTTACCAATAATCTCAAATTCATATCCTGCTATTTTAAACGATGTACTCACCCTAAACTTGATTATTCTTTTTAAGCATGAATTTAGATGTAGTACTGTAGGACCTAAGCTGAAATTAGATTAGTTCATGATTTTATAGGAATTCAACAATCCTCACAACACCATCCTAACAAAAAGAACATTATTCGTTCATATATCTGTTTCAGATACGATGGGAATTTTCAAACAATTAATGGTAAATATTGATTATAGATAAAGGAAGAACCCCTGGATTTCAATCAAAATGTAGTTTATGGCTAGTTCCTTAAATGGACCGATTTATTTACCACTTAATCGATCTTATGACGTTTTACCCAATTCATATCATTGTGTAATCTGTGATTGATTATCTAATCTGATTGTTACTTACACCATTGTTCTTCTTATGCTACGTTATTCATAATTATTTCGATTACTACTCTTTCAATGTCAACTGACCTAATTTATTCACCTGAACATTCGAAAATCCTAGCTAAAAGAGTTATTCAAATCATAATCCTGAATTCATATCTCGTATTTCCCTTAAATTTAACTACTAATTTTCATCTTTAGTTTGGACTGATAACTGTGTTCATAATTGCTAAAAACTTTATCTTGACTGACTGATTGTATGTAAAGATAATAACAACCAATTTCCATAAAAGTGTATAGGAAAATAATTTTCGTTTATATTTATGGATAGAATAGTTCATTAATAACTGTGCGGAATAATAGGTGGCTTAACAGAAACTGGGAATTTTTATATGTTCAAGACATGGCACTTGTCCATATCATCACTTATATTGGTGGGAATCATATAAGGACTTCTGGTCGGATGTTTTATGTTAGAAATCGATATTTGAAGAGTTCATCAATAATGAAGATAAGTTCCCTCTTCACTATGTGGTAGCTGGAGTACACCTTATAGTTTTATTTCCATTATTTTTTTTCCAATTATCACTCTTGACACACAGTTTTAGGTATTTTCTCCACTGAAAGTGTAATGTATGGACTGACCCTGTGATGTATGCTACTTACGTCGATAGACATAAGTAGTATGTAACAGAGATTAAAAGTGGAATTCCTGTCAAAAAAAAGTTGAGAAGAATGGACTGAAGAAAACAGGAAGGGGGAATATAAAGGTATTGAGAATTGGAAGAATGATGAAGGGCAATTGATGGAAGATTTGCTAATGAAGTATTTAACGTATGGTTTTCACATTTTGCAAAAGTACCCTGTAATTTTGTATTAAATAATAGATTGGTTGTCCTCACCTGAACGTTCGTTCACTACGACCCACATTTGTAAGTCATAAAATTTTAACAGTAACTGATAAAATATTTTAAAAAATCAGACTTATCATTTTATTTCTCTGGTACATTAATGTTCATACGGGCATGAAAATTTCGAAAATAACCCAAATGAGTAAACTGTTAGAAGATAACAGAAATTATTAAGAAACGCAGTCATAGTAAACAAAATGTCATTCAAAAAAATCACACACAAGGAGGAAACAGTACTAAAGATATTTAACATCGTGATATGAAGTAAATAAGACTGAACAGTATAATAACAACTAGCTCCATTTAATTAATCCTAAACTAGCAAACATTTTATTAAGTTTTGCTAATGCATATCTTAAAGATCGTTTAGGTCCAGCGGAAACTAAACCTAAACCAGTTTGATATAGACTAGACTTTCTGACTATATTAAATAAAGTATTTTGTAACCGTTTATTTCTATCTGTATGCGATAAATTTGATAAAAATGTTCGAGCATCATTAGAATTATGATTCAAAGTCTCTTGAACAGAAAGTAAACATATGTGATCGGGAATATTTTTCAGAAGTTGAAAAATATTTTCAGATTCATTGTTACACGGCTTAAACCAATGCAACTCATTTTTACAGAGATTAGATTTTGAAGATGGTTTAAGAGAAAAACCGTATAGTTGAAGAGAATCCAACGTATTATTATAAAGCGTGCGAAATTCAGATAATCGACTTTCACCAGACACTAAGCGTCTTACTTTCTGTCGATCTTCACCGATAATCATTCGCCAATCTCCAGTGTAAGATATTGAAGAAATTGTGTAGAATAAGTCATATTCATTCAATGGGAAATTTGTTGGATAATTTTGTAAAATTGAGTAAGATATGGACGCAAGTAGATTTTTGTTTTGTGATACACACAATTTTTCATCATAAACTTGAGGTGAAGAGAGATCAGACCCATTAGGAATCCATAATACAGGCTTTTGTAGGCGTCCAGCTAAGTAGAGATGTGACCAATCACACAAATCGGTGAGTAGACTATCCAATGAAACTACACCATATTTAAACGACAGTTTGGTATTATCAAGTGGATCACTCCATTCAATAAACGGGTTGTAATAGACTTTGGGACCGGGAATGCGAGAAAGAAACACTTCTAGGCTTGATGACCGGTACTTTTTGGCATAATTCCGAAATAAAAAATTGTAGTGATTAGGATTTTCAGAAATATTTTTCAGATGCCATTCCACAGGATTACGAACAATTATGATTAGATCAATAAGTGAATTACTTGATGTTCTGTCCTTCTGTGGAAAAACGACAGATCCATAAGCAAAAGAAGCTACATAGTTTGTTCGATCTGTGTTAAGAGTATCGACAAAACGTTTGAGTTTTCCGGCCAGTCTACTGTTTGTCATTGTTCCTTTTGGAGAGATATTTTTCTAATGCCTACGACAGTTCCGGACTTAATATCTTCTAGGCGTCTCTGACCACGACGTAGTGCTGCCTCTATACCAAAAATATCAGTCTTTTTGTAGGCACTTGCTTGAGATCGAAACTCAGAACGGATAAACTCTTTGAGTTGATCAAAGTTAGAACCGTTATTTACATTGCTAGTACCATTTTCTAACTTGGACTTGAACTGCAACAAATCAACAGTTCGTATAAAATTTCGATACAAACGAATAACTTCTAGTTGAAGTTTGCTATGACCAGAATTCATAAAACTAAAAAAATCAAAGTGTTTGAATAAGCGTATTAGATAACCTTAATTCCAACCTTGACATTAGACAACATGAATCATGTAAATTATATCGAATTTACCAACTAATTTGTCCCAATGATGGTGTTGTGTAACATTGAGTAGAGAGCTGTTGGGGAACAGTAGAGTAAGCTGTCTAGTAGCTTGTGGTGACAGATTTAACAGAAATGTAATACCACTGCAACTAAAATGATGCTTCACAATTATACATATTAGGCATTACAAGCGTTTTAAGCTACACTCAGTCAGTAAGTCAGCCACAACGTAGGACTAGGCACATATATGCATCGGTTCAAGTTGTCACACTTCATAAGCACAACAACATGATCACCAAATTCATAAACGTAGTTACTTCAATGGTAGTAATATATAAAATAAAGATTGTGTATAAGGATATAGTACAAGAAAAAGAATTAGTTCGTGAAAAGGAAGATATTAAGTAATCTTAATCTCAAGGTTTAATGGAAGACAAAGAATGTATAGACCTACACCATTGTGATCGATTCTGAGCCATGTCACCCGGAGTCTCCAACCATTGGTTACGATAGTCACGTGGACCCCAACCAAGTATTCTGCATCGACCAACATGTCTCACGCCAGAGATTAGTGACTTCAAGGACTGATGCCACGTCTCCGTTTGTTCGCCCTTAACTTTCCTCCATCCGTCTCCAAAACTAGTTGGTATTGCGTGTCGTGGTAATCGCTGTTCAGGAATACGTAACACGTTGCTCAACCATCTCAGTCGATATAGATTCACCTCACCAACTGATTAACCATCAGTCCCTAATATCATGCATATAACCTCACTATTACTGACCGGTGACCCCAGCAGATGCGAGCAATATTTCTAAGACATCTGTGGTCAAATACTAGTAACTTACGAGCATCTAGTTTTAATAGCCACGTTTCGCAGCCGTAAAACAGAGCGGAACAAACTGCTGCGCAGTATACTTGTCCATTAATTGATAGACGGATATATCGCTTTCGCCGTAGATGACGTAAGTAGACAAAAGCCAAACGATAATTCCCGAACCGTTGCTGCTACCTTGACGTAATGATCAGGTTTGCCCATCGAGATGGACCAATCGAGTTATACTAGCCGAGACAATCGTTCCTCAAGGTTTCACCATGCCAAGCAGATCGGTTGAAGAACAGACTAAAATTAACAAACCCAGAATACGTATCAGCTGATTTTCCTCATTTCAGATTAGCTATAACCTTTTGAACGTCTGCTAGAGTCGGGGGACCTACTTTAATGTTCCATTCAGGCTGTTTGGGAATGATGGGTAGTTATAGAGTAGCTGAAGGTCAACCGAACTGCTCCTCAAAATGTTCCTTCCATCATTCTAAACGTCTGGACTGAGAGCGTGTAGGTGTTTTTTTCAAGATCGTCTCACTTACACTTGACTGATTAATTCCAGTTTCTTTTATTAGTCTGAAAAACTGTATGCTGTTACATACAGTCGCCGTCTTTTCCAACTCTTTTGCTTTCGTTGCCCACCACTATTTAAGGTCGTTCCTTAGACTTTTGGTTAACCTAGATCTGATTTGTTTTCGCTCTTCATTGTATTCAGAACCTGATGGGATAAGTTTACGATAATCTATCAGTGCAATAGACTTAGTAGGAATCGATTGGTTTTTCGTAATTACTTGGTTCAAATCACTGTCCGTATATCTTTCCAAGCAACATCTGAGTCAGCCTCGTTTTCAGAACTTTCTAAGTGTGACCTCAGTTGTTCCTGAAATCCACTTTTGGCTTACTCGTCGCTGACTTCAACTCCAATGGGTTTTCCTAATGTGTTTTTTCTGCGTCCAGCGAGGTGCAAGCAAATGCGTGCCCGGAGTTCAGACAGGTATTCCAGAACGAGCGAGTCTTCTACCAAGCTTCTCCAACGATGACTGGTGGCAATATGGTCTATTTGAGTTCATCGTTGGTTTGGTGCAAGGGGTTGCCATGTTAGACGATGTCTCTCCTTATGCTTGAAATTGGTGCTAGCTAAAAATAAACGATTGTCTGAGCACAGTTGCAGCAGATGATCACCATTATCTGTTCACTGAGCTGGAATACCAAACTACCCACCTAAATGTCTTTCTGTTTGGTTTAAGCTACCCACCCGGGTATTAAAGTCACCTGCTACGAGTACTTTGTCTGAGCGTTTAGCTTTATGAAGAAGTTCAGAAAGCTTTCTGCGAAATTCACTTTTCACTTCATCCAGGCTTCAGTCAGTGGGATCGTAGGCAGAAACGACGAAAAATCAACGTGTGTCCTTACCCATCCGAGTTCTTACGGAGCCGTTTAGTCGGACAGTAAATAGGCGACCCATTTTATTAGCGATTGTTCTGCCCTCGTGTTTAGTGCTATGCCTACACCTGCCAGTCTACGAGAACCTGCCGTCGGGTCGCCAGATACACGAAGAGCATATCTCGTCGGCTCTACGTTTTGGCGAGGTGAGGTCAAATGAATGACCACACTACGATCCTGTATGCGTGTTTCGGGGACACAGCATACATCAATGGTGCGATATCTTAGGGTTTTAGCCAAGGAGGCCTGTTGGCCGATTTGACATAGGGTGCGTACGTTGAAGGCTCCAATGTGTAGTTTGAATCGAGGTTTCAGTAGACCTGGGACAGTATTTCATGCAATAGAATCGTTGACCATGGTGACACTTGAGGAGGAAGTCAAAAGAGGAAGTTTAAAGTTGATACTCGAGGTAGGGGGAATAACAGGAATTGAAGAGGAAAACTGATTACGATTACAGTGGTCTTGAGTGCTGTTAGTGGTATGAGGGCGGTTTTCACCTTCTGGTTGTTCACATCGTGAAAAAGCCCTTCTAGAGGTAGGTACCGGAAAATGAAATTGGATTAGGAGTGGCCTTAGCGACCTGAGAACGTGACCGCAATGCCCAAGAGACAACTGCTTGAGTTCGGTCACACACGACCCTTTTGTGAACAATTTTCGTGTTAGCTCCGTATTTGTTGCGACCTTACCGCGGAAATCCGTGGGATAAGGCGAAGTGTGCATTTTTAGGGTTGACCTTTTCTAAACACACCCCTCCTTGTGGGAAGGTATAATCGCTGTTATGCTGGTTGTCAGAAAGAAACACCTTACTGCCGTCACACCTCTGTGCAATCATCAGTACGACATCGCCTTCGGACCCTGGGTTTACTGCTCTTCAACCGACCTGTCTGGAACGGTAAGACCTTGAGGAACTATTGTTTCAGTCGGTATAGCTCGATTTGTTTATCCAGATAGGCAAACCTGATCACTACGTCAAGATAGCAGCAACGGTCGGGATATTAAGGATGACTTGGAAAATAATGTGGTATTAACAAAAGGCTACGTGATAGAGTTTAAAAATTCTTATAATGGGAGACAAATCATATTTTTTTTAAACATTATAATCACTAAACGTAGCCGCCAACTAACTTTCCTTGAGTCAGTTATAGAGAATCTGGTAATGTGTGTCCTATGAACCAACACGTTGAAATATCTTTTTCATGACTATTTATCCTTTTCATAGTTAGCAAAGAAAACTTAGAATCACGAAACTAACCCGAGCAAATTCGAAAGAACAATGCTTGTCTTTTGCAAAGTTGGTTTCAAGGATCTAAAGAAGTAATTGTGATCCTATCATTGCCATTTTGCACATCCAAAAACAATAAAGAATATAAAAGCAAAGTGTCAGAGTGCTTGCCTTGTTAGCTGTTGGGGCAAAATAAAGAAAATTCTCAAATTTTTTCTCTAGAGGAACACTGTTCGGGGATTCACACCAAGTAGTCTACCTTCAGCACACATTACCTACTAATCAGTTCACACAAAACTATTTACTACCAGGCCTTACTTCCTCAAGGAAGTCAACTTTTCACGCAATCTGCAGGATTTAGAAGTACAATACATGTGTTGAAAGAAATTTATGTACAGAAACTTAATCAAATTATACAAGTATGCCGCAACGTTGTAAGTTGCATGAACGATTATGGTAAACAGGAATCCCAAAAAGGAACTTAACCAGTAAACCCATGGTTTATCATGCAATTTGTTAAGAAATGATGGGATCCAATTACGACCGCAATGACAAATATAGTTTTTCAACGTAGGTCTAGTCGGCCTCCATACTACACATCGAAGTGAAAAAGTCGATGTGCCTACAATAAACAGCTTCATACACATAATTCCCTCTATCATCTTGAATCAAGCGAGAATGAATATTTAAGAAGCATAACATGAATTCATTTTATTTCGTTTGGTTCCCGCTAGTTGCAGCCGCAGTTGTAAGCATGTTTACAACTTGTGACACTTAAAAACCATAATTGCAAAGCAGGTTTGAATTACTCGCATGGATGAGTTTATATGGAAGTTACCTTGAAGATACATCAGTATAATAAAGTAAGGGTGTGAATGAATTTAATAAACTGGATAAAATATTGCATAGTTTTGTGTGAGCTGAATAGTAATAAGTGGGTTCAAAAAGCGGGAAATTTTCAAAAAAAATGTCACGAAAGTTAGCCTGATTACTAAAAACACGAATCATAAAGTGTTACTTATCATCAAGACTATGTTTACCTTGAGTCAACATGTAGTGACGCAGAAAGTCACACGACGCGGTTCTAACCTTCATCTATTAAACAAACTCAGATTTCAAACTTAGGTATTAA